CCAAATGGATATACCCTACGCTGTCTTGATTGTCGCCGGCGATACTTACGTTAACCCAATCTGCCCCCTCGTTTGTTATTTGACTCTTCGCTGACCAGTATTGTCCCCGACTTACGTCATCCGTGTGATACTTAAAGCATTATTTCCTCCTGTTACGTTGTTACATGTCGGTCTAGAGGGAACTGTATGTAAGTGGACATGCGTTCGTTTACATCAGATTGCCCTCGATCCGGCACGAATGGGTCCGTCGAAACGGAACACTGCTCCGTTTGCTTTTCCGACCCTGGCCGGAGCTGGGGGCAACTAGATGTAATTGGACGCCTATCCCTTTTTAGAACCGCTTGTCCATAGACTTACATTGGGCACCCCATCAGGTCTGCCTGAAAAATGGACAGGTGGACCAGATCGGACCGCACGGGTGAAAGAGGCCCTAGATCTACCTACAATTATGTAGCGCAAAGGGCGGCCTGATGGGATCCAAATGAATTGGATAGATGAGGGAGGTCCTCATATTACATCGTTTTGGTAGATCTTAAGTTGACTGCACAAAGTTTGTATGATCAGATTGCAACGTGTTTGGTGAGCCTTAGGTGTGGACTATCCCTATACACAGGAAGGGAACTTTTCCAGGCAGCCGTGGGAATATTTAATTACGTGCGTCCCAGGAGTGATCAGTCTAAAGCTCACCACCCACCTTACATTCTGACTGTTCAATCCTCTTTAGATCTACCAACAACTATGTAGTACATTGGTTCTCAACCTCTCCAGGGCCGGGACCCCTTGGAACATTTGGCAAGTTGTGGTGACCCCCAACGGTAAAATTTAGGAATGACGCGGCTGCTGCAGCGACATCTGGCGGCGTGGTGGGAGAACTGACACTGCTGAGCTAGGAGAGGGCTGAGGAGGACTCTCACCTAGCACAGCAGAAATCACACAGCGACCCCACAGGTTGAGAACCACGCCGTCGGAACAAAAAAACCAAAACGCCACCATAGGAATGAATAGCTAGATTCCTGTTGGCTATTTCGCTTTGCAATAGCCAATAGCAAACTAGCTATTGCACCCGCCCTCTGCTGCTGCCAATCACTAAAAGAGGACCTGATGGATAACTTCAGGTCCCCCTCTGCTGATTGGCAGCAGCAGAGGGTGGGTGCAATAGCTAGTTTGCTATTGGCTATTGCAAAGTGAAATAGCCAATAGGAATCTAGCTATGCATTAAAATCACCATAGGAATGCATTGCTAGATTCCTATTGGCTATTTCAATTTGCAATAGCCAATAGCAAACTAGCTATGCATTTCTGTGCTGGTTTTTTTTTTTTTTACTTACGGCGGCCCCCGATGTCAGATCGCAGGGAAAGGTTTATTCTGCTCGATCGAGCAGAGTAAACCTTTCCAGGAGAAAGTGGTTCTCTCCCAGGCGGCCGGGAGCCGCTATCTAATGAGACTCCCGGGCGACCCCCGGCAAATCGTCATTCGACCCCCGACGTGGTCGCGACCCACAGGTTGAGAACCGCTGATGTAGTACAAGGACCTGCCTGGTTGGATACAAATGCATTGGATAGATCAGGAAGATCCTCATATTGCATAGTAATGGTAAATCTAAAGTTAGCTGTGCAGAGATTGTACGGTCAGGCTGGAACGTGTATGGTGACCCTTAGTAGTTCTGTCAAGTGGTTACTAAAGCAGCGATTTTTCACTCCGATTTGATGAAGTTAAATTGAATTCCCTAACCTGATCCCATCTTTGCTGCAGACATTTGTTGTTTTCTAACTTGCAATGAATGTAGCAATAGTGTTCACAAGGGACGGGAGATAAGAGATCGGTTGGTGACTCAGCAACGTGTCGTTGTTTCCCTGTTTTAGTTTCCCAGCGCCCTGGAATGTCGGCTATTCACCGACCTGAAATTATAAAAAAACTTTTTACTGACCTGAAGATTTTATATAAAAAAACTGCAGAAAAATATCTGTTAAAACAACCGATTTAAAGGAGATCCGCCACATAGAGAGATGGGATCTGCCATTGTGGACTGGAAGGTGCATCCTCCAGATCTGTCATCCCTCGTCAGTTATTCTCTTCACTGTCCTGGAATAAATATTTGCATGTCAGTTGTCATTTCAGCTCCGTGGCTCAGTATATGGGAGTTATGTATGAAAAGTACAACATTAAGAAAATATCTCGTTACTAATAGCAACTGGTCCACATCTGACTGTTATTTCTGCGAGGCATAGTTAGTCTGTATCTGTAAAAAATAAGTCAAGGCAACTGGACTTGCTGTATTTTTCTTGAAGACGTTTCACTGGTCATCCGTCCGGCTTTCTTAATTCGGAATAGTTATTCTTGTTGACACACTTTTCATACATAGGCCCTTGAAAGAAAACTGTCATTGCTGACCATTCCAGATTGGAGAACTGCCAGTCTCCTGGACCTGTGGCAAAGAAATATCTGGCCTGGGGTCTTGTCACCAATATGATGGGGGCCTGGGTCTTGCGGCACCGGACTAGGGGGGCCGGGGCCTGGCGGCACCGGACTAGGGGGGCCTGGGTCTTTCGGCCAAGAATTGCAGGGCCCCGGGCCCAAGAAATGCCAGGCTCATGGACCTGAGGCACCGGGCTAGGGTCTTGTGGCCCCAATCTAGGGGGCCTGAGTCTTGCGGCACCAAGCTCGGAGCCCTGGGTCTTGTGGCAAAGAATTCCAGCCCCCTAGAACTTGTGGCCAAGAATTGCAGGGCCCCAGACCTTGCGGCAAAGAATTGCCAGGCTCCTGGACCTGTGGCACAGGACTAGGGGGGCCCGAGTCTTGTGGCACCAAACTGGGGGGCCCTTGTCTGGTGGCACTGGTGTAGTTCTCGCGTATCCCAGCTTGTCTCTCAGTGCTTTGTACATACACAGACATAGACAATGGTCTCTTCAACGGTGGTTACATAAGAATAAGATTATTGCTGCCTTACTGGCGTACACAGATTAAGAATGAGACGGTTATATAATAATGGCCTGAACAGGCAGCTGTCTTGCCACTGCTCCATAATGGATTGCAGGTCATGTGACCTCAGCAGCTGGGTGGCAGATGTTGGATGCGCTCCCTGTAATTTTACAGTACCCTGCTGCACGCTGCATTATTCTGGTCTGTGCAATGGGACTGAGCAGGAGATGTCGGTTATTCTGATCCGGTGGGGATCAAGCATTGAGTCTTTGTAGCTAAAATATGGATTTGGGGCGGGGGTGTAGATGCTGCTAGCAAGTCATGTCACCGAGGCCCAGGATTTCCGGGGTCTCCTTAGATACAGAGAGGCAGCAGATAGTTGTGTGAACTGTCCATACACAGGGCAACCTTGTAACCATTTACATTTTTATATATATAATTTATACACACACACACACACACTATTGCCAAAAGTATTGGGACGCCGGCCTTTACACGCACATGAACTTTAATGGCATCCCAGTCTTAGTCCGTAGGGTTCAGTATTGAGTTGGCTCCGCCCTTTGCCGCTATAACAGCTTCAGCTCTTCTGGGAAGGCGTCCACAAGGTTTAGGAGTGTGTCTATGGGAATGTTGGACCATTTGTGAGGTCAGGTACTGATGTTGGACGAGAAGGCCGGGCTCGCAGTCTCCCCTCTAATTCATCCCAAAGGTGTTCTATCGGGTTGAGGTCAGGACTCTGTGCGGCCAGTCAAGTTCCTCCACCCCAAACTCCCCCATCCATGTCTTTATGGACCTTGCTTTGTGCAATGGTGCGCAGTCATGTTGGAACAGGAAGGGGCCATCCCCAAACTCCTCCCACAAAGTTGGGGACATGAAATTGACCAAAATGTCTTGGTATGCTGATGCCTTAAGAGTTCCCTCCACTGGAACTAAGGGGTCAAGCCCAACCCCTGAAAAACAACCCCCCCCATAATCCCCCCTCCCCCAAACTTTACACTTGGCACAATGCAGCTAGGCAAGTACCGTTCTCCTGGCAACCGCCAAACCCAGACACGTCCATCGGAGAGAATCGTGATTGGTCACTCCAGAGAACACGTCTCCACTTCTCTAGAGTCCAGTGGCGGCGCGCTTTACACCGCGGCATCCCACGCTTTGCATTGCACTTGGTGATGTAAGGCTAGGATGCAGCTGCCCGGCCATGGACACCCATTCCATGAAGCTCTCTACGCAATCTGAAGGCCACACGAAGTTTGGAGG